GATGACAGAATTTAGACATATTGAGAGGGAGTAACAAAGGAGACCAGTATCGTTAAATCGGGTTGCTGTGATATGCTTGTGTGTTAACCTATGCTTGGGGAAGGACGGAGTCAAGGAGGAGGTTGATGATACTACTGTATATTTTCAATACATAATAATTTTTTCAAATAAAGTTTTTGTTGTCGTCCTTCACTAATTCTTTTGATGTAGATATCATTCACAAAAATAGCTGGTCCTATCCCTCCTCTTCTCTTGCCTCCCGAGGGGCAGAAGACGAATCACTGCAGCTCATCTGAAATGAAGATGTGCTGTGCTTGTCAAGTACCCTGGGACATGAATAGTGCTGGTAGAACATAAACCTCAGCCTGTAAGCACCAGGCTGTGCTGATAGAGCTCTGACAAAGGGAGGAAGCAAAGAGGATAAGCAGAGGCCCCAGGGGAGGGAGGCAGAGCGACAGTAACCCCTCCGTAACAGTGATTGCAGAAATCCAAAGTAGAACAGAAGTCTCCTATCTCTCTCATTTTAGCCCAGGAAAGGAAAGCTGAAACGGGGTTACTGTAAAGCTTAGACTCTGCAGTTGTAATCTAGTCTCCCTTATACGCAAATTCACTGCATTTGAGAGCATTCTGTGGTTTAAAACCCATTCTCGGTGTGCGTGCATGCCTGCAACATACTAACCATACTTCTCCCATCTAAAAATATTCAGGGAATATATGTGCTCTTAGGCCTATAAGGCCAAGAATTTACTACAGGTTTTCTCTACTAGTGCTTATTTAGAGGATATCTTCCTTTTACCCTGTTGCTTACCATAATTCAGCGACAAGAAAAACAACACATCCTTGGAAATCACGAAGAGGCCAAGAAAAGGAACTTCACCCCAAAAATGCGTAAAGAGTTAAATCCCTTTCTCTCTTTGTTCTTTTATTGCTGAATTTTCCTCAAAAAAGTACACACAAACAAGACACGCATACTTGCATTCAAGCCCTACATTTTTTTCCCAGAAACTCAAGGCTATTAATAGCTTCCGCTGACGACTACATCAGCCCTCTGCTGAGATAAATAATGGCACAAATAGTGACTTAGCAAAACAGCATCGCAACGGGGAGGAAGATGACTGTGGCACTCAAGAATAAACCTCCTCCTGCATCTGCCTTCTGGTTCAACAGCCACCACGGATTTCTTTTGCTAGCCACCACTGTGGAGATCTGCTAATCTGACCGTGGAGAGACGCACGTCTCGGAGAATAGCATACTCCATTTCACATCAGTAAAGCAGCTGGGACCTGATGCCTTGAGCCGGAAAACAGGGACATTGTGATTTGACATGAACGGTCTGCCCAGGTCACAGGCTTGCTGGTGAAATAGTACAGTACATCTTTCCTTTTCAGAAGAGGTGTTTTAGAGCACTGTGTTTCTTATGTTCTTCCTCCCCGGCACAATTATTTTCTTTTTCTTAGGTTTCTTGCTGACCAGCAGGCTTTCTCTTTTAAACACACCACTGAGTAAATTTTATCCTAGGGAGACTTAGACACACTTACCACTACGTCCTCAACCCACTAACCTCTGTTTATTGCTCTCTGTAAGGCACACAGCTTCTGCTGACCGGGAACAAGGCAGTAAGAAAGAACATTCCAGGAAGAGACTCACCTTGAAATAGATAATCTCAGCCGAGTGTCTGTTTAAACTGCCCGCTGCGTCCCTGGCTGTTTCCAGGCTGGCTTCTGAGTCTTGCTGCCCATGGACTGCTGCTTCCCATGTCTCTCTCGGCTAGTCTCTTCACAGGTGTAAATCCAGAGCAGGATGAGTCCTTGGTTCCTCGCTCCTAACCTGAGGCCATTAATCACAGCTCTGGCCTCCCAGGAACACCCGCTGCAAACTGATACAGGGACATCAGCCAAAGAGCAACCCTGGGGCTCTACCCTGCAGGTACCGGGTGGGTCATCTCCTCTGACACCAGTAAACCTTTACTGGCTACCTTAGATGTAGAGATCACATTCTTGGCCCTGCAAATTTGCAGAAAGAGGAAGACCACATTTGGTCTCCTCTTTGCAGCCAGGGATACCCTCTCCATGCGCCCTAAGCCTGCCTGTTTCCTCACTCTCCTGCGGGAGGAGAGAGAAGATGGCACAATAATATTTCCTGTCTTATGCCAGGCATTTGCCTGGTCTCAAGTTGCGCCAGGGGAGGTTCAGGCTGGATATTAGGAAGAACTTCTTCACTGTAAGAGTCGTTAGGCATTGGAACGGGCTCCCCAGGGAGGTGGTGGACTCACCATCCCTGAGGTGTTCAAAAAACGTTTAGACGTGGCGCTTTGAGACATGGTTTGGTGGGCATGGTGGCGCTGGGTAGAAGGTTGGACTTGATGATCTTTGACGTCTCTTCCAACCATAACGATTCTATGATTCTTTATCGTGTCTCACAATAAAGTAAGAATTCTCAGATCCCAACATTGTCCCCATTCAGCCAAGGCAAGCCACCACTTGACCGCTGCTGCAGTGGAGAAGCAGCCTTCCACACAGCAAGCACAAACATCCGTCTCCCCACGCTCACACACTCCACACCCCAGCCCTTTCCTCTTTCCCCTTGGGAGCATCTTAAAACTTGGCAGAGATGAGCTGTGGCAATAATCAACAAATATCGGACTGGGAAAAGACAGCAGTTGCCATACGGGTCAGCCTAACCAGCATCCTCTTCCCAAGAACAGCAAACATCCAAGGCTCCAGAAAGTCATGGCCGTCCCAACATTTTTGATACAGAGCAAAATTTTTTTTTTTACCAATCATATTGGCTGGGCCCTGTGCTGAGCATGAGGGTTTCTGTATTTTTTTTTAGCAGCTGATTGGTTCAATCCTTACCAGCTACAGTTCTTCTGTTATCCATACACAGCTCCTATCATGAGGGATGAGATTCTTCTCCCCCTCCTCTCCCACCTTTCTTTGCTGCCCCACAGAAGTGTGCAGCAGGCATCACCCACCTGTCCCCTCCCAATGCAGAGAGCTTGTTGTGCATCCTCCCGCTTCAAAGCCAAGGAACAGACAAACAGTCCATGGCTGAACCCAATCGGAATCAAAAAGAAGCTCTTCCCCAGGAAGGAGAGGCTGACCCGGTAGCGCTGCCTCTGAATCATCCCTCCTGGAGCTTCTCGTAAGAAATGCTGCAAGACTTTCTCACTGGTTGCCCCAGAACATACTTTGGGGTAACAAGAGGAACAACAGCAACAACAATAAACCAGGCTTTATTTACCAACCCCAACTCAGCCTTGTTGAAGCGTTAGGTGTCTGTGACCCTCCAGTAAAAACATGCATCTCAATTTCAGGCTTTGATTGAGGCTGGGAGTTTGCAAGTGAGAAATGCTTACCTAGAACACTCCTCACCTCTCCTCTGAGCTGCAGCACCAAATGCCCTGCAATAACATTTTACAGGCACAGAGAAAGCAAACCATCCACCCTAGCCAGGTGTGGGGAAGGACAAATGAGGCTTTAGAAGCTTTCCATAGTATTGGTTTCATTACGCAGAGTTTTGCCATCTCATTCCAGGTGAAGTATGAGTCAGAATACTGTAAAGCTATTTCTAAAATATCTCTCAGATCTACAGCTGTATCCCAGCAACAAATCAGAAGAAACATTCCCCATTGATACAAGTCATGGTGACACGCAGAGCTGCAGATCACAGGACAGAGGAAATGAGTGAACAGGGTTTTGTTTTTAAAGATCTATGACCTGGGATGGTGGTGGGAAAAAGATCACCTGATATTTATTTTGGGCCTAGAAAAGTAAGCACACTCACCGTAAATGTGAGTTTTTCTCAGAGACAACGTTTTAGAAACAGATGAGATTTTCAAAGGAGCAGAGAAAGGCTGCATCTTTCTTAAATTTCAGTGGCACGTCCTATCTACATCCTGAGGATTGCTTTGAAGGTTTGGCTGCCTGATCCTGCTTTGCTGAGAGAGGAATGAAACAAATAATGAACAGATCTCACGTCACCCCACACTGCCCCGGGAGCAGCACTTGGTTTTCTGCTGCTCCCTCCTCCGAGGCTGCTGCTTTTTTTTCTCCTCCTTTCTTTGCCAACTTCAGCGCAAATGCATCCCAGCCCCACGCCTGTTCTCAACCTGCTAAGCTGCTGCCCCAAAACTGCGCAGCCCTGAGAGAAGTACCTTTTATATACGTGCTGGTTCCCTGCCCTGCCTTGCAGGGACAGCTACACGGTCACAGGGACACAGGGATTTATCCCCACAAACCCCGAAACCTCTCCACTTCAGTTTTCCTTGCCATTACGCTCTCCACGTTGGCCTTCATGGTTTGAGTAGAGCGCAGGGGGTGGCCTGTGCAGCAGTTCCCGACGGTGTCATCCTCAGCACAGCGTTCCCAAGGCAGCATCCTGGGAGCATCAACGCAGAGCCTTCAAAGCCACTGTTGAAATCAACTGCAGACCTGCTTTGAACCCAAACACAAGCTTCTCCTCTTGCCCGTGAGGATCAGGAGTGTGTCGGAGGGAAATGCTAACCCAAGGGCTAGAAAGGCTCAGCTCACTCAGCTCCTGCTCTTTGGGGTAGTCCTCAGTGTACCTTCATCTGGCTGCCTGCAAAGGCATGTCCATACAGGAGAAGGCACCGGCATGTCCATACAGGAGAAACTCCCTGCCCAGGGTTGGCCAGACACGGTATTTTTGTTGGCAGCAGCTGGTAAACAATCTCCAGCAGCCTGCACACAACTCAAGTCAATGCTGCAAGACAGTGCTCTGCCCACGTAGAAAGGGCTCACCCTCACGTGACAGGAGAACCCTTGAAGGTGTCCCACAACCAGCGTCTAGCCTGCGGCACGGGCTGCCATATGCACTTTGTCCCTGTTCGGTGTCGCTCTGCGCCGATCAGTGCGCTGCTGATGAGGATTTGCTCAGGTTGGAGCATCCCAAGCAGATGGCAGAGCAGGACACCAAGGTTTAAAGGCGACAACGCAAGAAGCACCTTGCTGTCTCCAGCGCCGCTGGGTGCCAAGACTTCACGGTCTGCAGAAATACTCATCGGACCAGGCGAGGCAGTGCTGGGTGCCATCCCGGCACAGCCTCCTGGGGACGCAGGAGCAGTACTCGTAGAGCACAGGGCTGCAGCTCCACCATTCCGACCCGCACGGGGGGCAGGCGGCCACTGGGAGGGATGGACAACAGGGAACAGAAATGCTTCTGCTGCACTGACCCCTCACTGTCCTTTCTTATGTGGGTAGCGACCCTTTCACCCCCTGGCAGCTACTGAAAAGCCACTGGTGATGGCCCTGCGTCTGTGAACCCACCAAAGAGGACGCTTGTTTGGTACTACTTGTGAGAGACAACCACAGAGAGTGACATTGCGATGACCTTCATGGCAGACATGCTGTCCTGGGAGAAACAACTAGCTGTAATTTAATTTATTTTTTTTTTTAGCGAGTTACTCTAGACAAACTGCTGATACAGGCAGGTCTTGCCTGAGGTTCAAAACCAGGAGGGTGACTTAGGAACAAACCTGCTGCTCATTTTAGCGAGAGAAGGATCTAGATGGCTTTGAAGCTGCTGAGGCATGCTCAGTTCCCCCAGCTCAGAGACGTACTCATCTCCTGACCAACAGCCGAAGGCCAGTTGGAATGACCACTGCTGCCTACAGCTCTGCATCCCAATGAAACTGCTCAGTATTCAGAAAGCCACAGAGGAGCAGAGACGTTTGGGGCTGGGAGTAAAGCATGGAGCCTTTCCCCTCTCGGTCACCACCAGGCTTTGACACAGAGCCCTTGGCAGCTGGTGGGATGGAGCTCGCATGGTTCATGCTCACGTCCTCTCTCACCTATTTTGTGTTTTAGCAGTGGATGCCAGCCTCCAGGCATTTCCAGTAGCATCAGTGAGCACCACACCTGTACAACCTATTTCAATCCATCAGCAGAAAAGACTTTTTGCCCAACAGTAGCCAGAAGAGAGACTTACAGCTCCCCATCTCATCGGAGCAGTCTCCGCAGTCGTTCATCCCGTTACACCTCTGATCGGCATAGACCCAGGACGCGGGGTTACTGCAGTGGAAAACCAGGTATCCCGGAAGGCTGCGGGGCAAGTCACCTGCAAGGGCGGACACACAGGACATGTGCTCAACTCCACCGGGCACAGATGCACCGGCTGAAACAGGGACGGCAGCTACCAAAGGCTGCTGCCATGGGGGGTTGGTCGGTCCTTCCCCGTGCGGTGTCAGGGCACGAACAACGCCGCAGGTGGGGAAGCTGTGGTTGGAGCGGGAAAGGGATGCTCATGGCTGAGCTGGAAGCAGAGTCTGGGTGCCCCAGGCTTCTGCTTTAATGATTTTTTTTTTCCCAGGGTAACCGGACAATAAATAAACTGTGCAGGCATACAGCTTAACCAATGGAGGAAAACTGTATCATGGTTTAAAAAACCAAAAACAACTAACCAAACCCTAGGAAGATTGGGTTGTCTTGGAGCTTGGAGTCTTTGATTCCTGACACTCCTGTGGGGTTTGGGGCAATGCCATCTCTTAGCATCTGCCCTACAAAGGATCTACCAAGCTTATCTGCTCATGTACATGGCCAGGAGCACGGAGCAGGATCAGAGGGACACCGGCTGCTCTGTCTCACAACAGAAAGACCGGTGTGGGGAGGACGGTCACAACAAAACCACTCACCACAGAGTTTCTCCTGCTCATCCTCTCCATCCCTGCAGTTGCTGACACTGTCACAGACCTGGCTGGCTGGGATGCAGGTTGCTCTGTCGTCGCACAAGAAGCCTGTCCGGTTATTGGAAGCTGCACAGAAGCGGTTCACTGAAGGGAAAACAAGAAGTACTTTATTTTCCAACATTTTCATGGTATGAGGAACAGATCAAGGGGAAGAAAGGGGGATTTCTGAAATTCATTTGTTGTTCTGGAAATAACATGGGGCCAGGATTAATCTCTGGTAGGTTCTTGGCAGAGTCTGGAAACCATACCAGCAGTCTGAGGCACGACCGTGCCACTCAGAGCTACCACAGCCCTATGGAGCAGGACACCGCTGGTGGTGACTTGGGCTGTACAAGGCTGGCACATCCCACACCACCCTTTCCTTCCTCCCGGTCTCTGCTGGGAAGCACCACTTCACACACAGTGATGGACACAAAGGCTTTTCTCATATAGCATCATTTTCTGCCTCCCTTACCAAAAAAACCATCACGACTCTTGGGATACCAACCTGGTGCCCGTAGCAGGAGCCCCAGCGCCACCGCCAAGCCCACAGCTGCAGCAAGGACGAGCAGTGCCACGGCAGAGATGCAGATGCGTCTCCCCGTGCAGCTCATGCGGGCGCTGCGTGGCCGGCAGCAGTCTGCTGGGAGGCAAGAGTGAGAGGTGAGGGGCTGGGGAAGGGTCCGGCAGGGCTGAGCTGGCTCGGGGGGGGTTTGAGAGGAACGGCACAGAGCCACGAGGGTGATGTTTCAGGGGCTCTGCATGCAGCACTGGCAGGGGGCTGCTGGAGTTTAGGGGTTGACAGCCAAACTCCAACATTAAACACCTCCTCATAGGGAATTTTGCTGCTTGCAGTGTTGCAAAGCCCGTGCCACCGTTACGGAGCGCTGGGACCGAGCAGCACAAATGCCACATCTCCACCGGAGCTCACCCAACGCGCTGGGATGCAAAGGGCGGAGATGGCCAAGCCCTTGCCTGACCCCGTGGGACAGCAATGCCCTTTTCACAGCAGGAGCAGCCGAAACGCAGGGCAGGCTGGTGTCAGGCTGGGAAAGGTGCTCTCCCAGAGCCCATGGCAAAACTCCTCAAGAAGTAAAATTTCATTTTACAGCGCTTCGGGATTCCTGCCCCAACAAGGACTTTAATGCTCCCACAGAATGAGGCTGAATTATCAGCCCAAAATGGTGAGAACAGGACGAAGAGCAGCCCTTTCCCTCCCTAAAGACATCTCCAGGGTACAAAGGGCAGCAACCTTCCAGGGACTCCTACTACAGAAAGTCACGTACGTAAATCAAACCAAATCCGGAAGCTAAAGGCCAAACCCACAGTCATTGCAACACAACGGCAGCGCACGTAAGAGTAACACTAATCAGCTGCCCTCATCGCAGCAATCTGCAGCGCCCGTGCTTTGTCTCTCAACCAACATTGGGTTTTCTTGCATTCCTTCGTATTTCCAGACCAACAGAAAAAAATTAATGTGGTCATCTGAGAAACACGTAAACGGTCACTTACGATAACCCTGCATGTATAATTGGATTTTGGTATTTCTGAACTTAAAGAGCTTTGATTGAAAAGTTAGAATTTGTCTTAGCTGCGCTTTGTATTTACTTAGTTGTTGTGTTGTACAAACGCAAGCGAAGGCATGGCCTTTGCTCAACAGCAAAGGGATCCCGACTGCAGTAACCACCCCCTCCGTCACGCTCGAGCAGCAATCAAACAGAGAACATTTCAGCTTAAAAGAAAAGAGGTGAATTACAGCATGTCTGTGAATACAAAACAACACCTTTGACCAGAAAGCACAACAGTTGCAAATAGACACAAGTATAAAGTAACACCAGTGATCAAATGTTGTTGCAACCCAATCTACAGGTTTGCTATTGATTCTGTCTGATTTCACCTTCTCAATAGGGACAAAATTTGCTGGTTTGGCTATTAAAACATACAGAAAGCCTACAGCAAGTTCATTTTGAACCCTTCTGTGACAGACAAGGATTACCTACCATGCTACTATACCATAAAACTGCCAACTCCAGGCCAAGAAAGATAAGTTTATTAATTTTATAGTCTGGACCTTCCACAACACAGAAGGGGGAAAGAAGAAAAAAAAAAAATCAGTCTCAACAGACTGTAAATACTGGTTGTATTTTACATTACATAGATAGTTTAAATTGATTTATACTTTAATAATAAAAATGTTAAGCTCTTCATGTTATGTTACCTCTTTCTTCAGAGAAGGACTTCGTTGAATCAAAAGTAGCTACATCACCATTGCTCTAGAAGGAAAGGAATAAAAGAAGTTTACAGAAGCAGCACACAGTAACCACACAAGGTATGCCTTTCTAGTTCTCATACCATCTTACCCAGGAACATATAATATATTCCCTTATTTTTACATGCAAGCAAAAATTGCCTCGGTGGAAACGTGGCCCAGATTTAATTCACAAAGCGATCAATCCGATCGCCTTTTAAATCTTCATTACCCATTTGTAAAACAAACACTAGGGCAAGTCCAGCGCTTTATATCAATACTTTCCTTTTGTATCAAATTAGGTTAAGTAGAAACAACTCGAAATCCCACAGAAACCAGTGATAAAGAGGTCAGACAAACAACACCACCAAGAACCCATGTACTTTGGGAAACAGCTTGCACGTAAGAATTTTCTGAAGAGAAGGACTATACCTGGGGGTGAGTTTTGTTCATGCTTTCCAGAGCTACAGCCCACACAGCAGCTCAAAGGACCGCAGGGAGTTTTCTGCACCTTAACACAAGCGATGTTACCAGGATACAAACCCCAACACAGGTAGGAAAGCAAGGAGCGTGCTGCTGCCTGGGCACACAAGCAGGAGAGGAGGGGGAAGGCAGTGCTGAGCCCATGCTCCAGCTCCGGTTGGAAGCAGGGGTTCTGGTTTGCTTCTCATTCCTTTTGGCTCCATCTTGGTTTCACAACAAGGTATTAGGCAAATCATAAAGGACACGGAGATTTTGGATGCCGAGAATCCCGCTGCTGCTCCTCACGCCAGTTCGGAAGGTGAACGCTCATCCCTAGCTGATGCCAACTGCATTTACCCTGGTGCCAGTCAGGGAGAACTCCCCTTCAGGATGAAAGCTTGAGGGAAGAGAGTCTGATCATCTTCATGCGAGACTCCTTTCGCCCCACCTTCTTCCCAAGACAGAGCTGACATGCTGACCTCATAGCAGCATCAGCCCAGACTCCTGTAAGATGATCAGATCTCAGCAGAGCTGTGCAGGATACAACCATCTGGAAGAGCTTCCCTCCTTGGGCAACGAGCACAGGCATAGCAAATCCTCCAGCGTCCTCTCTTTTACTTGCGTACTTGAATTTCCAGGTCTGCAGTTGTCTTAGCAGCTCAGCCTGTAGCTAACATGAACTTACAAATAGACCGGAGCCTTCTAAACTGGCTGCAGGTCTCAGCACAGCACACGCAGAGTGAAGTGCTGCAGCCTCAAGGATAAAATGTCATCAGCAGGCAGCTTTGCCACGGGGGTAGGGGGGAGAAAAAGCACCGGCATAAAGTGTTGAAGGAGCCCATGTTCTTCTTGCTTGCAGGAGGGTCCATAGGACTCGAATGCCTCCAAGTTGTTGCCAGCTCACAGATCACGATTCCTCCCCAAGCACTAGCAAAACTAGCTTACCAGGGCTTCAGAGGAAAAGCTGGCAGCTATATTGCCTATAGGTTGGCCCTTAGACAGTTGCCTCAAATAGATTCAAAGCACCAAATAATGCCCCACATGGAGGAACAATAAACAGCTACTTCCCTCTCCATCCCCACACATACAACTCATTCTCGGTTACATTAACATTGAGTTAATGCACACTTCTTGACAAGGACATCTGCCACCCCTGCACTCACCTGTTCACAGACCAGCCAGAATTGAATACAGTCTTTTAGGAGCTCCTCCTTCGGCACAGCAATTTGTCCAAAGCAGAAGCTTCTCACAGGAATACATCACTGCTAAACTTGGTGCTAGAAAACTCTCCTGCTCCAAGGGGGATTTTGGGTGAAAACACCAAACGCCAAGTAGCAAACAGCCTGCAAGTCTGGGAACCTGCTACAATATGGAAGAATGCCAGACTAAGGGTTAAAACCTGCATATCTTAAATTCTGGATCTGCTTCTCGTTAAAGAGGAAGTTTTAGTTTCTAATCAGACTTGACACAGAAGGACTATTTTGAGCCTTCAGAAAGCTTATTAGGTGATTGTGAGTTTGCTAAGAGTCCCATGTAAGTCACGTCAAGCAGGTTAGCTATGCATACCCCATGAAACAATCTATGATGGAAATGTTTAAAATGTGGAGTAAACCCACTCTTAGAGGCAGACGTCCAGAAGACCTGACGTCTATCACCATCTATTTCCTATACCAAGATTATCAAGCTCAGCTGTAGCCAACCAGGCAGCTGGATTTTAGAGCAGTTACCCCACATCAAAGACTGCTTATAGTTCAGAAAAACGAGTTAATGAGATTGAGGTAACAAACACAAGCAAGACCTTCTGAAGTAAAAAAAAAATCTTTGCCAAAGATCAGAGAAGCTGAAGAGGGAATGCAGATCAAGATATCCAGTATGATAGGAGCCTATTTTTAATTCTAGCATCTAAAATAAAAACCCCCAAGACCCCCCAAATGTACCATGGCTATTTCTGCCAGCAACGAATTGCACACACTTGAGAGGGTTGCCTCATTTGCGTCAAGATGATTCAATTTAAAATCCGATACAAGTTCAATCGAACATGCAACTAAAGAGAACATAAAGTGCTTTCCTCCTGCAATTTCAGTAATTTAAGGCCCTTCATTTAAACAGTGGTCTTGAGCAGGCATCAAACCCAAATTGCAGCCTCTGAAAATGAAGATGTCAGGAAGTCAAACATTTAACAAAAAATGAGTAGGGCAAGCCGTTTTGCAAAGTCAAATGCCAAAATAGCTTAAATAGTCCATTTAGATTAGAAATCTTGAGAAACTGTTCAATTACCACAGCCTAGTAGTATCTGATTTTACTGAGGGAAGATACTTCGAGAAGAGCTTGCAAGTACAATACTCAACAAATTCTTCAGACCCTGGCTCACTCTGGAAACAGTACTGCCAAGTGACAGATTGCCACAGGCACAGAGTTTCCTGTGACCTAACAGCACATTACTGAATCGCTGGCTTCGCCGCACAGATCACTTAGCTGAAATGCCATTAAACAGCAAACAAAAGACAAAACCCATAAAACTTGTGTTTTCTCCCTTTGTTGTAGGCAGATACAACGCCAAATGAAAGCAGAAGTTGTTTGTTTATCTCAAACCTAGGAATGTAAGCAATAAAGTCAAGCGTTTTGGAAGAGAAAGTTTCGTGAAATCAAATCATCAATGTAACAAATGGGCAACGTTTGAAATGGGCAAATAATCATGTTTTCGTGAAGCTGTAACACTCCCTCTGCAACTACGTGTAACAGTAAAGGAAAACATTTTAACAGACTTGAAAACATTTCCATGATAGTTATTCACTCAGAAAAACTGGGATTGCTAAAGTCTCTTCTGGAAAAAAAACAGTGCTAAGAAGACGGGCAATGATCACTGAAGTAACGCCCATATTTACAAAGCAATTTTTAAACGTCCGTTGCACACATCACATTTGATATCACTCAAAGAACAACACTGGCATCCTGCTCCAAAACAGGGCTGTGTACTGAGGTTTGCACTACGTGAGCAGAAACGCACATCTCGACTGCATCACTACTGCAGAGGGATTTCCTGCCCCTGCTATCATGCAAGCGAACCGCGTTCCGAAAACATCTCACCATTGATTTTCGCAGCAACAGTCACGCCCGAGGCCTTTGCAATAATACCACCTACACACAAAGGGACCTGTCAACGGCTGCTGGCACCCAAATTTCTGGGCCCTGAAGAATTTAGCCTGAAGAAGTACCACTAATTTAAGACTTCCAATTGTGATTTCTTTGATAGAAGCCTGCTTAAAACAAACATTGCTTAATGCTCTTAAATCTCACCGACTGAAAAACGGCTTGAGTGCTTCTAGGCTAGGGTTTTCAGCAGCACTGCGTACAGGCCACTTAATGCACCTTCCTGTCCGATAGCCCCTGCGAGGGGCCATCACCTCTAGTGACACAACCATCAGCCTTACAGCCGAATTAGGAATGACTACTGATCCAGTTCCAACAGTGAGGGAACACATCACTCTGTCCTCCAGAACCTCTCCACTTCTCACCAGAATTCAAAACCTGAAAAGGTGGTGTTTAGTTTCTTTTGGGTTTGTTTGTTTTTGTTTTTTTTTTTTTTTTAAACCTTCAAGGGAGTTCTGTATAATCAACAAAACACAAAGATGAGTTGGAGATCACGCATTCTAGCCAGCTTTCAAACACTTACAGAGATCTTAAAATAAATCGCATATACTCCCAACTTGCCAATCCTATGGGAACCAGCATATAGTAATCTCCTCAAAGAAAACAAACGTCAAGAACATATTAGAAATATGAGGGACATTGTTAGTTGTTGTTGTGTTAGTGATTCATATAGCAAAATCGGGTCACACTGCCCATGAGAGGAATGCTACAGACAGGCTTTCATACTAAGTATGTTGTGGTCAATAATTAACCATAGCAAAAAGTTATATAGTCGATACTTTCTATACAGTCAATTTTATTTGTCTGTTCTCATTTCTCAGGAATCAACTTGTTTCTGTAAATGAAGTTACAAGACTAGAATAGTTAATCAAGAACAGAAAGTAGAATTTCTTCAGAAAACACAGGCGCTAATTTTACAAGCAATTTAAGACTCAAAGGCTAAAGTTTGACAAAATAATTGCCCATGTCATGTTCTGGGTGTGAACAAACAGGGATATGTCCGTAAGTTTTAACAAAGTTTCCATCTTTCACAAACTGAGTTCTACCCTACAGTACCTCACAAATGCTTTCCATCTCAGATATTGCCACACTGTAGAAAAAAATATATTTCTGTTTTTGGAGACAGGGTTGTTGTGCATGGACATTAACAAGTACAAAAATTCAGCAGATTATTTTATAATATTTTCCTCTTAACTACAATAAAAGTGCAACACTAAAAAGGCATCTCCTGCCTACTTAAAGTTTCTTATACCTTTACAAAGCTAACTCTGAATGTACACATTACATCCTAGAACACACAAGTTTGAACGTGTCATGGCAGAAGTATGGAAAGCATGCTTACAGCCTTTGTAAGCAAAAAGACACATAGCAAACACCAGTGAAAAGTGATTATGTCTAGGAACAAACATAAATTCAACATATCCGAATCTTCACTACTAGTTGAAAACAAAATCCCATTACATTTGTTGATTCTGTAACTTGGTTTGCATTTAAAGACTGGCTGCTAAACTTCTCATCTGAAGAACCACCACTAACAATCAGGAGTTGCTAACTCTGTTAGAATTAGTCTATTGGATCCAATGGAGATTTAAATTGCTGATTGAGCCAGATTGACTTTTGTAGGAAGAGGTCCTGCTTCTTCATGTTCCTCCGTCTTGCATCTAACCACAACAAGCGCAGAGGATGGATATCTGTTCAGTTTTTGTTCATTCATGTATTCCAAATCTCCATAGATGCTCAGCTTCTGAAACATTTAAACAATTTACTTTAAAACACTCTCCATACTGTGAATAAAATGCATTTCACTATGCAACTACATTCCTAGTTCTGATGGCTGCAGC